TTACGTGTGATGGAGCCCTGCTTTCCTGGAGATGGCTGAACACCTGCCTGCCATGGGACACGGGGAATGAATTCCTTATTTTGCTTTGCTTGCGTGCGTGGCTTTTGCTTTCCCTATTAAACTGCCTTTGTCTCAACCACGAGTTTTCCCACTTTTACTCTCCCCCCTCCCACCGGTGGGGAGCGAGCGAGCGGCTGCGTGGGGCTGAGCTGCCGGCTGGGGTTAAACCGTGACAAAATCGAAGCAGCAAACCAGGTTTGATCACAGCAGCAAAAGCAGGTGCCACCACAATCTCTAGTTGATATGCAAGTAAGAATTCACAAACCTTTGCCCTTTTCGCATTATTCATTAAATAAATTATCTGCTAACACAGGGAAAACACTACCAGCTCCCCTTCCTATTTCTGATACAGACAATAAAAAAAAATCAGTATTAATATGGAAATCATGGCCACAGTTGTAGAATCAGATGTAATGAACAATCTTGTCCCCAGCTTAAGTTGCTATAAAGGCAGCTTAAATTTACAATGGATGAGTCTTCATGGCAATCTGTTTTTCAGATATTAAAAATCTCATTTTCTCAGTGCCAAGGACAAGTGGAAGTGTGAAGCACTGGAGTATCAACTCTGCATTTGTCTCACTTGACATGAAATCATTCTCATTTTAGTTCAGATTTTTAATACATTCTTGGGATCCACTTCAGTTTTCTTCATTTCTCACTGTATGCAATTAAATGTTTTGAAGTATAGTTCACCCTGATCCACAATGCCCTGCAGAGGCAAGGAGGAAGTCACTTGGTAAAGATGAGGTTGATGTCACTTATTTGGAAGAGAAATTAATTTTTCCTTTTAATTTCTGAATGAGTCACGTAGTAAAAAACAATGCTACCACTTTGTATTTCACTAATACCTTCCTTGGTCAGTTCTTAAAAAGGGTTTTACAAATAACAAATTAAAAGCCTTTGTCCTTGGGGAAGAGAAACATCACAATTTGTCAAAAGTAAAACATGAAAAGAGGGGCTAAATTCTTGGCTTAAAGCCACGGAGGATAGTATCAGCAGCTGAACATGGTATCTGCCCAAGGACACAAGCCCCACTACTACAGTAGGACTATTAGCAACCAGCTACTGAAATATAGAACAACCAAGTTTCAGCTTGCTGATAACCCTGGTGCATTGGATGGTGAAGAAATTCAGCCCTGAGAATGAAGTTCTACCACTGCTGAATTTGCAATAAAGGCAGATTCCCAACCCCATGCAGAATTACAAACCAATACTCTCCTAGAAGTAACAAAAAAAGTCAAAATTTAAATCTTTTACTTAATGTACAGCTTAAGGTCTGTAGCACTTGTCAGGTCCTCGGGCTGGACTCTGTGCATGCGTACGTGTCTATAAACTTGGGCTGTTAACATTTCATCCGCTTCACTTTCTCTGCGCTGAGGCCAGCATAAAGTAAAACAAACCAGTTACCTGGCTTAACTTAAGTCCAGAAGATATCTTGCCTCAAACCCAGCAAGAGACCAAGGATCCATCCATTCTAGTTCATTCCGATGGTTAATCACCCTCTCCATTACAAATTTGTACCCGAATTCTAGTCTGAATGTTTCTGGCTTCAGATTCCAGGCAGTAGCTCCTGTTAAGCCTTTCTTTGCTAGCTTAGAGCCCCTTATTCTTGGGAGATGTTCAGACAGGCTGTTGTTTACCCAGTGTTTTTAAAATTCCAGCTACAGCACTCGTTATCAAAACCTAAAGATAAATTCATCTGGGTGCACGCACAAAAGTAGGACTAGTGTCCAAAATACTAAAGCTAATCTAGGACTCTCTAGCCCATTTTCCCAAAATAGGCCTATTAGGAAAAAAAAAAAAAAAAT